AATAAAACAAGAGCGAAAATAAAACCGATGTAAGAATAAGACATACATTCATCATACACTTGCATATATACAGGGTGTATCATTTTAAGTGATTTAACTGAATATCTCTTAAAGTAAAAGAGATTGGAAAAATTGTTTCAGACAAAAATTGTCTGGTTTGAAGCTCCCATACAGCACAAAATATTTTTAAAATATTTTTTAGGAAGATTAAAATAATTTACAAAAATATTTTTAGAATGTTTCTATGTCCGCCAGATCATGTCAGAAAATATTTTCAAAAATATTTTTAAAAGATTGCAAATAAGTATATTCAATAATATTTATAAAATCTTTTAGAAATATTGCTTCGAAAAATAAAATATGTTTGACCCAATCAGCACTAATTGTTTCACGTTTAAAAGATTTTTTTAATATTTGAAAAATATACATCTTTACTTATCTTTGGAAAATATTTTGTATATTTATAGCATCGCAGTGGTGTTGGGTAAGCCTTGCATTATATTCATGGCGAAGACATGTGTCGCGAATGTTATGATTTTGCTTCGCCGGAGGCCTGCTTATTAGATCCCAACTAAAATTTACTTACGAGTTAGTCTTATCATTATACTTGCGCCGTCTAGCGGCGTCGCGGCGTCGCGGCGTCGTAGCGAACTAGCACGGAAAGATGTGCTACCGTGCATTTTTCTTAATTATTAAAAATATTTCATAATATTTCAAAAATATTTTTAAAAATATTTGAAAAAAGATTATAAAATCGATAAGAAATAAAAATATTTTTTAAATATTTTAAAACAAGATTATGATACAATAAATATGTAGATTTGAATTAATATTTCAAAAATATATTTCAAATATTTAAGAAAATTTTGCCTGGATGATAAACAAAAACATTTAGAAAAATATTTTTAAAAGATTTTTTAAATATTCTTAAAACTGTTACCACAAAAGGTTTTTAAGCCATTTTAAAATATTCCTAAAATCATTTTAAAATGTTTTTTGCAATATTTTTATAGAAACATTTAGAAATATTTTTTGAAAACATTTTGTGCTGTATGGAAGAGACATAAAAGATGGTGTAAGCCATATAAAGCTGATGGTGTAAGCCGAATAAAGCTGGTATTCTTGGCCCAACAATTCGTTGGCAAGCTTCTCTTTCGATTTCGCCAGTTCATTCAACTCTTTCATAAATCTTAATACTTCCTTACATCGTGGATCACCCGTCTTCAAGGTGATTGGTTTGCTACTGCGATCAATCACCGGTTTCACGCTCACGTTTTGTAACACTTTATTTGACCTTATCCTAGGCCCAGATCCTAACACTGGACTTTCGGGACTATCCAATCGTTGCCCATTCACACTGTCGCCCCGAGACGGCCGTTTGTCGTCAATTGATATCGTTACATGAGTAACGAAATTCTTGGATTTGTTTGGAGAAACTGTGTCATTGCTGTTCAATTTGATATGCCTGGATATCGATGATTTATTGTCACCATGATCCATTTCCATGTCCATATTCTTGTTATTCAATTTGTTCTTTCTTATTCGCTCTTCTTCCTCGTTAGAGTACACTGCGGACAAATCTGGATATTCAAATGTCTCCAAAATCTCATTCTCAATATTATTGATATTTGGTATTTGAATATTGGCATTCGTTGTGAATGCTGGATACCGCTCCAGCCATTCCTGATAGCCTCCACTCAGAATCTTAATCTTATTATGCTTTATACCAGGATCCCAATTCTCAAAAATCTCCTTCAATATTTTTACATGAACACACTGTGCCAGAGTCTCTTGCGTAGCATTCCAGTCTAGCAAAACTAAAATGTCTACGTCCATTGCCGATCGATTAAGAAATAATTTACACGCATACGTGCCTTTTGAAAAACATTTTATAAAGTGACAACCCAGTAACCTACAAGCAAAAATCCACCATAAAAAATTAATATAAATTAAGAGAGACCCGATAAAATTGAAAGATAAAAAATCATGGGAAAGATCGCAGGAAAATGCCTCGCTTACCCTTCCTTAATTTCATCCTGTGGGATGTTAATACATCTGTCCGACAGTATCATGGAACTTTCATAATGGGCCTTCGGCCTAGTATCAACGATCAAATATCTAATACCTATCTTTTGTATTAGATAATACAACTGATCGCACGATATAAATTGATCACTATCGCTACAAAGACTTATATATAAGGGTTCTTCCGTCGGTATTTCTGGCAATTTTAATCCAATGTCGCTATTCGGCGCATCTGATTCATTTGTGTCTACCTCCATTTTTTCCACCATTTTTTCCGTATTATTTTGCTTCATCGATTTAAGCTCATAGCGTACTTCTAATTTTTGCTTCATGTCTGCAAGTATGTTTTTCACTTCATTTATCTAGAATATAAACATTTATGTATTCCACCATCCGTACGACACACATCGGGCTGGTTAGTTGTAGAAATACAGGTACACTTCTTACCTGGTCGACGGTCATGTTCGCAGCATAGGACTTGCCATCCTTAACGCGAGTTCTCCTCAGCCACTCGACCGAGTCCAACCATCTCTTCAACATGATGTACGCGGTCTCTTCATCCCCTTGCTTCCTCGCTAGATTAGACTTCTCTCGCATAGCGGGGAGCCTCTGGTACACGTTGCGCGGCTCCTTACCCGCAAAATTGATCTTGGCCTTTTGCAGGAGATCATTGACGCAGGTGAACGTCAAATTCGTCGTGTTGGACATGCTGCCGGGCGTCGTGCGCGAGGTCGGGGGAGCCGCCCGGCATCCGATGCACACGGCGCAGTTCGCTGTCAGTCAAAGGGCAAACGTTAATCGCCTAATCTACTTAGAACCGCGAGACGTAGCAGCCCGGTGGCGATTCGGACGGAGACACGATATATCGCCTCGGTGACGTCGCAGGGGCGCGCGGGGATGCTATCGATCACCGCGCGTCGCCGTCACGTCATCGGAGACCTCTCGCGACGTCCAATAACAGACGGACTCCTGGTCCTCCTCGCGTGAATTCGCACTCCGAATTGCTCCAAATGACTTGGAATGACTTCGAAACCGAACAAAAGTACCTCACCACAGTATTGCCCCTGGTCCCCCGGTTTCCTGTGGTTCAAGGTGCGCCCAAGAATTGTAGATGTCAGCTGCGCCGAGAGGTTAGCTCGTCCGGTCGTGGATAACAAGCAACGTCAGCGACTCTTCTTCTTCTTTCGTTGGCTCCTGCCTCTTTTCAGAGGACAATACGGCCAGTATTTGCCACTGTTATACAAAGTCTGGAACACTGTTAGCGTAGCGAAGTCTGAACGGAAATACCAAAAGTTTAAGTGGAAACTAAGTCGCAATATTTTCAAAAATTTTTCCTGCCGGACAAAACACGTCCGAACAGGTCCACACACCACACACGTTCTGCGAATGGTCGCGTTCAGCAGACCAAGCCGCTCAGTAGCAGTCGAACGTGATTGGCTCTTACTTTTAGAACCAACCAATTAACGCAAAGTGTTGATAAGACGACACTCAACAGTTGTATCTGCTGAACGCGGCCAATGTGATGGATGACCAATGGTCATTTGCGACGTCAGCGACGATTGTCCAATACGGCAACTTCTCGCGAGGCAAGACGCACCCTTAAAGGGCCAATTTCACCAACCACAGTTAGCTTAACCGACGGTTAAAGTTAGCAGGATTGACCAATAGAAAGCAGGATGGATTCATTTCTATTGGTCAATTCTGCTAACTTTAACCGTCGGTTAAGCTAACTGTGGTTGGTGAAATTGGCAGGGCGAAATCTCAGTGTTTTGTCGCGCGACTTTTCGAAATGCTATTGGTCTACAGGATAGAGAATTCCGGAGAATTCGCGAAAACTTTATTATTCCTTCGTAGCTAATTGATATGCAATATTTGACGAATTTACTGCACGACAAATGAAATTATCAAAGAGAAAGTAATAGAAAATAATATGAGATATGAAATATACTGATAATATTGAAAATCTTAAGTATTAATTGCGTTTTCTAATTCTTTAAACTAAAAAAAAAAAAAAGATAAAAGTTAAGTTAAACCAAGATTAAAGTTAATCTAAATTTGAATACAATTTTTTATTAATTCGCCATATACTTATATGTTTCAGACTAACCCCATCAGGAAGAAATTTATATATTTTATCATATTATTATTTGTTTTATAGATATACTTATTATAATATAATAATAATATTTATACATACAAATATATTTAATTAAATTTATTTTTTATTAACAAACTGCGTAAATACTGCTCACTATGTGTTTGAAAAATACAAACGTAATTAGCCTGAAAATGGCGAATGGCGAATGATGTCATTAAAATGTTACTAGACACTCGATAATAGGTTTCGTACTGTGTCCGTGATCGGAGCACAGGTTAGAGACGTTTAAAAGGCGCTTCTTCTGGAGTATCGTACGAACTACGCTCCACTACGCTCCGTGCGATGACTCATGGTGATATATAGCAGCGATTTTTGGAACTTTAGCCTCGCTGAGACATTTACATACAAATATCGACCTCCCATAGTCGGATAGTCGTTTCAATATTCCAAAGCGCGTTCCGCCTGATACTCCACGCGTGTGCATCTTTTCACGATTGACATCGTCGCCAAGTAGCAGTTGATTGACAGGATGGACGTCCTGAACAAGCTTCGCAACACAGTCAGCAACACTATCAGCAATACCGTCCAAAACACAGCGTACGGTCTGTCGCAGCTGTCCAGCGTTCTACCTGGCAATCCAGTCACCAGGGAGTTCGAGGCGACCGCTCACGTTGCGAGCGCTGGCCCAGGATTGTTGTGGAAGATCTACAGCGGCTACAAGAAGTCCACTAAGCAAGAGGCAGCTATTTTCGTTTTTGAGAAGCGCATGCTGGAGAGATGGTCCGCCAGGGCAGATCGGGAGCTTGTGCTGGAAACTCTGAAGCGAGGCGTGATGCAGTTAACGAAGTTGAGGCACCCGCAGGTTCTGACCGTGCAGCATCCACTTGAGGAGTCGAGAGACAGTCTGGCGTTTGCGACCGAGCCAGTGTTTGCTAGTCTGGCTAATGTACTAGGTAGATGATAGATAAATTTTGCATTATCTGTTGCTTCTCTGTTAGCACATAAATTCTATACTGTTGCAAAGATTAAATTCAATTGCGTGTTCTATCTGAATCATAGAGATATAAGACTAGAGTGCGAGAGTCATATGCTAGCACATAAGAGGCTGCAGTGTAGGAGTAGAAGAAGAAAGCTACATATAGGCCTCTTCCGTCAGACAAAGACAGAAGGGGCCCATGTGCAGCTTTCTCTATCTATTCCCATATCGCTTTTTCAGCTTACTTGCGCATTCTATTCTTATATCTCTATGATCTGAATTCACTTAGTATCGACAATATTTACATATAAGATACATATTGCAGGTAATTATGAGAATATACCTCAACCGACTCCAGGAAACTTGAAAGACTACAAGCTGCACGATATAGAAATACGGTATGGATTGCTGCAACTGGGAGAAGGTCTGGCATTTTTACACGGCGATGTAAAACTGTTACACAGAAATTTGTGTCCAGAATCGATTGTTATGAATGTTCATGGAGCTTGGAAGATATTTGGTTTTGACTTTTGTGCCTTAAATCAAAATTCAGATAGTAAACAGGTACGAGCGTCGTCAAGTATATGAAGATAAGCATCAAGTATTAAGATAAGCACAATTGTTGGATACGTGATAAATTGAAAAACAATATGCAGTTATACCGTCTATATTTTATAAACCAAAAATAAATCTAGCAATTATTAAATTATGTATTTAATGAACTAAATATTTGGGTCAATTATTGTATTTTGCATTATTTTTTTAATTTCAGCCAACGTGGTCTTACCTGGAATATGATTCTACGCTCCCGGCGGTTGTGCAACCTCATTTAAATTATCAGGCACCCGAGTGCATATTAGCGAGTAGCAATGGACCACCTAGCGATATTTTTGCCCTGGGCATGCTGATATGTACGATACATTCCTCGGAACATCAACCACTGCTGGAATCTCACAATGATTTAGGAAAATGCCGACGTTTCTTGGAAAATTTCAAAGGAACTAATGTCTCGGCAAAGCTTCTTCCAATCCCCGAAAGTCTAAGAGATACTGTAAAACTCATGCTAAGTCATAATCCTGAATTGCGATTAGATGCTCATCAATTTATCAAGGTAGTTTATTTCGTTTTTCTTTAAGTAATTTATTTCATGTGAAATGCAAAGAAAAAAATGTATTTAAGATAATTAATATAAAGAAGGAATTCTTAAAATAATGATATTTACTCCATTGTTATACATTGTTGTAGATCGAATACTTCACAGACATTGGCGTTAAGACGTTAAATTATTTGGACAAGTTATTCCAGTGGGATAATCTCCAAAAGTCGCAATTTTACAAAGGTCTTCCACAGTTATTAAAACAGTTGCCACACAGAGTTGTGCTACATAGAGTATTACCTGCACTCTACAAGGAATTAGTTAATCCACCTATGATACCGTTCGTATTGCCGAGCATATTGCAAGTAATGGAGGTTACCGAAGTAGAGGAATTTCGAGAACATATCCTACCTAATCTAAAACCTGTTCTTGCTTTAGAAGACCCGCCACAAGTAAGCATGCATTTTTCTACAGTGCCAGTAAAGTAAGAAGATGTATAATATAATAAAAATAATGATAAAATATTTTCCGTGTAAATCGTATAAACTAATATGTATTTTTTTTATAGATTAGTCTGGTTCTTATGCAACAAGTAAATTTATTATTGAAATTGTGCCCCACGGACGTCATTAAGACCGACATAGTGCCTATGCTACTGCGTGCTCTGGAATCCGAATGGGAACAGCTCCAGGAACTCTGCTTATCGGCTCTGCCGAATATAGTGACGATGATCGAGGGACCAGTCATAAAAAATTCCATACTTCCACGGATGAAAAAGATATGTTTGTCACCGGGAAAGAAATCTACTAGTCTTGGAGTACGCGTTAATTGCTTACTGTGTCTCGCGAAAATGCTGCCGAGTTTCGATCGCTGGCTGGTATTCGATCAGATATTACCATTCCTTCAGGAAGTTCCTCATTCTGGCGAACCGGCAATTTTGATGGCTATTATAGGTAATATTTTTAAGATAATTTTACATTTATTGCAGTTTGTCCAATTTCGTTCCGAAAAAAAATTGATGAAAATATTTTTTTTTATGTTGCCAGGTATTTACAGAATGTTGCTTACTCACGGTAAGCTAGGTATGGGCAAAGAAATATTGGCAACGAAAGTACTACCGTTTCTGTTGCCTCTCTGCATAGAACAAAATCTTAGCATGACACAATACGAGGCACTTTCCACGCTAGTCGTCGATATGATAAATCGAGTAACCAGCGAGCATCGAGAGGCATTACGACAATTGGATGCGGTGCGCCGTGAGACGCAACAACTCGATCAGGCACTTTCTCAAGTGACGTCGCCCACTTTTATGCAAAACAACAGTCTAAGCGACATTAATCTATCGCCTCAAGTTCTATCCCCGAACGCTAATACTAAAACAGTAAATATTGAAAATGGATTAACCATCGAAGACAAGTACAGGTTTGTCTCAGCTATTTTCAAAAATTTCATATTTTACTCGACATACTAATTGCTATTTACATTGATCTCTTTCCAGATTAATTCAACAGCAAGAAACGCATCAAAGATTGCAGTCTCAATCTATGTTGACTCCTAAAGCTGCGCCACAACCTGTAAAGTCACAGCCAAAGGATTTAACTGCGACTTTGTTAAAAAACAATCTAGACGAATTAAATCTGTCTATGTCAAGATCGACCATGTCACAACCGGATTACTCGGCTACTAAAAATGCATATAAATATAACGACATTGGTCTAACGCAATCGCAATTTTTAACATCTCCAACGCTTAATTCGCAAACAACATTGAATAGGCCAATGAATTGGAATTCCAATGGAATGAACGCGCCCTTGAACTGGAATTCGCCACAATCTACCTTGATGTGGAACTCTGTCATTCCCCAGAATAATGTAAATTTTGCAGCACAACCAGAAGTTAAACCAAACTTAAACTTTCCTGGAACTATGCAACCTCTTTTGTCGCCCACTAATATGCAAACCAATACGAACAAACCTAATTCATCCACGCAAGATATCATGGATTTGCTTAGTTAATGGATTTAATTCTAATACAAAAGATAATGCCGTTTGGACATCACTGGTAAAGGAATCATATACCAGTACGTTTCTTTGTGGGTCTCTTTTTAAAATATTTTTACACTATGTCGTCAAGTTTTAATTGTTCTGCATAATCATTTCAGCAAGAAATGATTAATTCATGGATTAATTCATGGACATATGGATATACTGAAAGATGTGAACTGTTACTGAATTGTGGAGCATCACCAAATATATCAAATTATAAGAATCGAAGACCGAAGCTACAAAGTTTTGAAGAGAAGTTTCTAAGAATTGAACAGAATTGAAGAAGCCAAGTTGTTATTGCATTATCATTTTTGAAATTAGAAAGATGAAACAAAAGCGACAGCTACATCGTTAGCGATATGAAAACGCTGATTGTAAAAACAGTGATTGTAATACATATTCTCTCTTCTAGCGTGATTTCTGACAGCATTATCGAAGATGAAAGTCACGTTATATAATAATCGCAAAAAGAGAAATTAATCATCCTTTGTATCAGCACAAGCAATCAAAGATTGCAGTATTAGATGAATATTAAATAATTTTAGTGTATATTTTATATTGAGGCTGTTTAGCGTAAAGTAATTGAATTGCGGATCTTGAGAAATCTTGGAGAACAAAAAATTATTACCGAAGAAAAGGATGACTTACAATTAGCAGAATTAATATGCTTATACAATGTTTTTGAAAATTAAATGCTTGTTTTCGCAATATTTTTTTGTCTCCAGCACTTAAGATGTATGATCGGACATTATGCGGTCTTATATAAAACTTGTCATACGTATATATATTATATGTATATATATTCCATCTACATTTCTTATTTTAATAATGTTAATGATAACTAGAAAAGTCTATATGTGTTGTAACTCTTCTTTAAATTTTTCGTTAGTTCTGTTGTATACTTCTTGTTTTAATATTTATAAACCATTAAATAGATATATTTATAAAGATGTTCAGAATCGACAAATGCTATATAAATAGAGTGATCTTTCAGATAACATTAAACCGTACGCTAAGTATGAAACTAATTATAAGTTACTACAAACGCTAAAAAGTAGTAACTTATTTTAATGTGATAATAAAGTGGAAGTCACAGTCTTTTATACAGAAACGCAAGTTTTTATCGTGATTTAATTTGCCATACTCCCTACATAACGCTTCGATGTATATATCACTTGCCCGCAGGATAAGGAAAATCTTAATGTAAGAATTATTTAATAAAGATATTGCTCATTCAAATGATCCAGGATTGTGGACCGCCGTTTCCATTCTATATTACGAGATTTGTAATAACGTATCGTATGTATATATTAATCTGTAAACTGTATTAACATGATTATCATCTACTAACATCTAGTTTTATTGTAATATATTATCGTACTGTCAAGCTTTGCAGAAACAAAGTTTATTTTATGATATATTTCTGTATGTGAAATGATCAAGCGTTGTATATTACGAATGGTCAAAATAATGCATTTTATTCAAAATTCTGTGTATGCAGAGTTACTATACGTAAATCTCTACGTTTGTTACTGTACGTAAATCTCCTTAGTCCTATGTGCAATTGTTATTTTGAAGCAAGTGTATTTGTATGAAGTTACAAAAAGAATTGTACGTACATATTTATTTGTAATATTATCCTGGATCTGTTTGTTGTTTATTTCGTTGTTATGTGCGATTGTTAATAATTGCTGTTTGAGTCTAATAAAAACTGCTTGAAATGTTGCTGCTTAAACGCTTAAAATGTTTCAACTTATAGTCGCCTCTTCTTCTTATCCGTTAATTATTAATTGCATTGCAAAAATGTATTTTTAACAAAAACTCGATTTTATAATTATTATTTAGTTGAAATTCGTGTGCAAAGATTAATAATTTTTTATCTACATCAATATCTGCATAATTTCTATCATATTTTGTTGATAATTTGATATTATCATATTTTTCACATAAAAAGAAACAAGAGTTTGCGGAAATCATTAAAAGCTCTTAAAATTTTCTTTCCCTCCAAGTTATATTTCTTTTTTTTCTGTGCAATGGTTTTCCCTGCAATTGACTGCAAGCATGCAGTGGGAGACGCTGATCTACAACCGAAAAAACAAGGGTTCGCGTTGAAAAGGGACATTCACCCCATAGTTGTCGTTCGTCATAAAGAACAAAAAAGAACCAGCGATTCCTTTGTTCTCGGAACACCGCGCAATTAGGTTTCGGTAGACGCCGATAGCCGTGTGCGTGTGCAGCGGTGGAGAAATGCTGGAAGTATCGATTATTCAAGCTGTACTATCGTCGCCGCCGAGGAGGTGCAAGAAGAAGTGCCGGGATGAAGAGAATGCCGCCCCTACCGTCGAGCAGACAGACAATAAATAGGAATTAGATTCAACGTAGAAGAAAAAGAAAGGTTTTTAAATAAAGGCTGCACTCGTTAATTGGCTGAGGTATGCCTCCCTGCAACGACCCTCCATTCTCTTTCGATTTGCAGCTATACGAAGGGCTGCGCAGAAGTGGCTCGCGCCCCGGGAAGTTAAGCACTCAAACCCTCGTTTGTTTGAACATTACTCGCGATAATTACTCGTCGTGTCTCGTTATCCAATGATTTATTGAGGAATAAGAAATATGGAATTCTGCAGAGGATATTCGATCCCTTACGCACTATATTATGTCCGTCTTCAATCCTGTATTTATTTATTGAAAAAACGGGTCTTTGCAATCTTGTTTGTAAAAACAATAAGATGATAGAAACGACTGTACAGAAACAAAATTTGAAAGATTTTTAATGATTTCTGTTAGCAAACTTCTCTCTTTTCATATAAAAATATAGAAATATTAAATTATTAATTAAATATGACAAAAATTATATATAGATACCGAAAATAACAAAACTTTAAAAATATTCTCTTCTTTTATAAAAATATAATATTTCTCTGTAATATCTTCGGTAAAAATATTGCTAATATATAATAACATTAGTGAAATTAATTTATATATATAGGATAAATTAGACTAATTTTGTAGATTTAAACGTTAAAAACAAATTGTTTATCAAAGATAGAAGAAAAATATAATTTAAATTGTCTAATCTGAGATTTAAATCGATTTCCCTCAATCAATTTGCTTAATAATATATTAAAGCTTTTATATAAAATAATATTTTATTATACTACGTATTTATGATGTATCGCATTAATATTCCAGACTTCAAAGAATACCCTTAATATCATTAAAGGGGATAAAAGAAGATGTATACGTCTCATATCTACATTTAATGTACAAATTATTCTTTCTTCCCCTCTCGAAACATCATATCACATTGATCTTCCTACCAACACTATCCTTCGCTTCCTCAGCGCCGATATTGCTCAAAACCACTCCCGACTTTGGCGCCTTCGCAATCTCTCGCCTCTTCGCCGTTTCTTCGGATATCAAATTGCCACCCCCCAAGGCGAAATCGGTCTCGCGTTCCCGGCTCCGAAAACACGCAACGAGGTAACGTGCTATCACGTTATAGATCGGACATTCATTCATAGAAGCCAACCTTCTGTCATAATGCACACCCCTAAGGCGCACCCCGTCGAGCGATAAACGGGGGTGCTAGCGGGGGCGGCGACGGCGACGGCGGCATGGCAGCGGCGGCGGCGGCGGCGGCAGTGGCGGTGGCGGCGATTCGACCCCATCCGACACAGAGAAAGAGGGGTGGCCGGCGACCCCGGCTTTAGTCGCGATGTGCGCGTCGCCCCATCGCAGTTGCTCCCTGTTTCGCATTTCCGCGAGAGATCCCTCGCCGACGGGCAAAAATCTCGCGCCGATCACGTCGTAAATTTCTTTCCGATCTTACGGAATAATTCGAAACGAGGGAGAGTGGTAGTGATACCTGCGAACATTTCGACCAAACAGTTGCGAGGAAAGACAAATTGTTTAATTTCTGAACTCAGTTTCTGTCGATTTAGTGCTTTCAGTCTTTACGGTGTCATTATAGCATCGCGGTATTGACAGCAATTCTAAGAAAACGACTGAGGAATATGAAGAAAAGCGTTTATTTCTTCCCGTGTTAACTTGAAAAATGCACACGTCGCAGCTATGGACTTACTTTTAAAGATTTAATAAATAAAAAAACTCGAAATTACTTCTCGTTTACTAAAGAAAAGGGAAAAGGGAGGCGGGAGAGGAAGAGACGAAGTAAGAATAGTGTCGGTTTCTTAGAAGACCCGACTCTCATAAAGATCGTCGGCATTCTCCCTCGGCGGGAGGGTAATTTCGTGTCCGTCGGAGGGTCGACCCTCGGAGCAGCGCGGGGATGCGCGCGAGGGTGTTTGTGCGGCGTGGATAGGCGAGCCGGCAATTTCGCGTGTGGCTCTCGATATCGATTCTAGGAGGCCGCCGCCACCGTCGGAGTAATCGCGCACCCCCTTCGTCGTCCTTCGGTCGGCAAAACGGCCGCTCGTTGACATCGTCGTCGTCGATACGCGAAGGGGGGATCAATGAGAGGCAAAATCGATCGATCGGATCGGAGAGCCGACGATCGAATTCATCTATATTGTCCTTCCCGGGGCGGAAGAAATCTATATCGGTCTGTGATTGATCCAAAGAAGATGCGGACCGTGTCAGGATAAGAAACATTGCGTAAGCGAAGCACGTTGACTTTTAAACAATATAAATGTTGGAAAGACATCGCAAAGATGTTTCGAAGATATTTTATTTAAAATTAGGATATCCATCGAATGTTTGAGGAGCTTGAAAATATCTTTCACATCATGACTTCTATGTTGCTTTTAAAAAATATTCAAAAATGCTTGACAATAACTGATAATTGGAGATAATTGAGTATAAATTTCAAAGAATTAGTAAAGATAATTTAAAGATAAATAATAAATAATTTTAACTTTAAATAGAAGAACTCTTCAAATATATAAACTTATAATATATATGAACAAATATATAAACTAAAAAGTGACCGCTTGGCAGCATCTCATTGCATTATTAATTAATATAAAGTTAACTTCTATATCAAATTTTTCTTTTGTATTAGAATAATTAGAAAATATAATTGTAAATTAGACTTCAATTCAAGAGAAACAGTTAGTTAAAGACATAAAGTAATAAGAAAATATTAGTACATAGTTGTTGCCGTAATTTTATAATTATTTAAAAAATGTCTTCAATGCTTGATACAAGACTGAGATTTATTAATTTAATTATTTAGCAATTTTCTACCGAGATTCACAGAAATATCTTTAAAAAATTACCAAAAATTTATTTTACGCCATAAATCGTCGATGCATCTTGTGCATGTTTCGCGATTGTTACTGCAAGAGTGCTCGATGTTGCCCTATCGTCGCGCCTCCGGCAGAGGGGCGATGTTTATCTGTGATATATCAATGTTAATCACCACTACGCGTGTTCGCTGCGATAAGCAATGCGTGTCTGTCTGTGTGGGGTCGGTATTCCCTTTTGTACGCAACTACGAACTCATTATTCCAATTGCATAATCGATCCAAATACTTTCTACGCAATTCCGACACGTGGACCGTCCACATTGGGCACATCTATCATCCTCACATTATTACGTCATTATATAAGTACTTAAATGCAAATACAAAATAAATTCTTGCCAGTAACAATCAAGTACTACGTAATAAAAGAATTTTCTTTCTCTTTTTTTCTCTTGCACAGAGAAGAAAACTGAAATTATAAAAAAGTTACTGATGACATAAGTAATTCTCTCTTCGTAAAATTTGATTTCTTGCTCTAATAATAATTTCCTTGCTTTAATAATAACTTCATTTTGATCATGAACATAATAAATCAAAATTATTCTACAATATTATATTCTAATATCTATAATAGAAATTTTCTATAATAGAAAAATTACTTATTCAAATAGAAATTTTATTATATATCATATTTTTTGGCTTTTTAAACAAGAAATTTTAACAAAGAAAAGGTTCACACATGGATCGCGTTTTCTCGTAAATTAGCAGGAGAACGCGGTTAGTAAGAAATCTCGATAATAATAATAATAATAATAATAATTTCTTTGCTTTAATAATAACTTTATTTTAATCATAAACACAATAAATCAAAATTATTCTACAATATTATATTCTAATATCTATAATAGAAATTTTCTATAATAGAAAAATTACTTATTCGGATAGAAATTTTATTATATATCATATTTTTTGTTTTTCAAACGAGAAATTTTTACAAGGAAAAGGTTCACACATGGATCGCGTTTTCTCGTAAATTAGCAGGGGAACGCAGATAGTGAGAAATCTCGATTTTAACGAGCACATTTATGGAAGGGTCCACCATCCATCCATCCATTTTTGTTTCGCGTGAAAAGAATCCTCAGGGGGTTCGAGACACCCCGCGGAGACCAGTCAGGTCTTTCACAGATATGCGCAAATATTTTGTGAACATATAGAAGCGATATCGGAAAACGATTCAGACGAACATCACGTATATTTCTCGTAGTAGTCAGTTTTATAGTCAACTACTTAGTTAAAAGTTGAATATAAAATTGAATATAAACAAAAATGCTTTAAAAGTTATTAACGTCTTTCAGATAATGTCAAATCATTACTGTCTTCAAAATAAATTTATGAAAAACAAACTTTTCCGTAATTTACATTCAACAAAATACTATCTATAATAGAAATTATTTTAAAAAGTATTCAATATGCAATATAAAAATTTATGCAGAAGTTTATTGCACTTTATGCAACATGAGAAAATTGTGGTTTTCATTTCTTTTGTTTTTATTTATTTCACACATTTTAAGTGCGCGATGAAAATAGAATTTTTTAACTTTACAAATGTTAATTGTGCTATCTGTCTATTATTAGCCTTGCGAGTATCATGATAGACATGAAATATCGTACCCCCTAATGCGGTCGACGTCGTACACAGACGCGTACATACGTGCGTTTTCTGAAACGGTGCACGCTATAGGGACGCGGCCGATCGATACGGACGGGAAAGGACGATGCCCGATTTCGATTTCCCTCCGAGAAGCGATGCGGGGTTGCCCTAAGGGTGCAACACGTGCAATTATACGAGGCTGCAGATTTTCAGAAGCGGAACGGGGGTGTAAAATGCACGCACGCCGCCCGGTGACTTTGATCGTTAGCCCGAAGCAAAATTATGCCGCTACCAGCATTAACTTATTTGCATCTGGGAAGCAACTAAATCGACGATGTATCTTGCATTAATATATCGTTCGCAAAAATAAGATGTTGGCGATTAAAGCTAGATAGATTTAGCAAGAGTTTACGCTGTAAAATCATAAATGCCTAATCTTTTAATTATTGAGAATGTTTATTTTATATTAATTTAATCTTAATTTCTTAATAAAAATTAAGATTAAAATTAATAAATAAAAGTTATAAATATTTAGAAAATAATTTTATTTACCATGCTCACAATTATTGCGCTTAAAATTAAAATAATATTATTATTCAAGCAAAGAAATTTAAATTAATATCTGCGAAAAGAGCATTACATCATCAATAATGTAATCAATTTTTTACAGATTCCTTTTTCTTATTTGCACGAGAGAATAGAGATTTCTTAATTTCCCGTGTAAAAATTGATTTACGGATGGAAAATTATACTAATTGTAAGAGAATATCAAAAGTAAAATCATAAATGCTGTTAAATTACATAAAGTGTCTTAATATTTAATTTAAACCATGACCTCACAATAAACAACTTTTTGGAACATATAATGCCTGAATTGCATGTTCGATAGTTATCATTGGGGTTAAAAATATTTCAGGACCTTTATAGGAGCGTTTATTATTCCGACGTAATCTGGGTTACTCTGGTTTACTTTCTTTGAACGTAATCTAGTACGCTCTACTTTGCTTTAACTTATTTCATATCAGTAACGGTAGTCTAATTTATTTAATGACAATCAAACTTAATGCGCTTTTTATTATCCTTAACAGAATAGAGACAGAGCAGATTTGTTACATTTTCCGGGGCACCGAAATATCTCGGTTAGGCCCTGGCAGTCATCAATGAAGAGCCGGACATGAATTGGACATCCGAACGGTCATCATTGGGATTATTAATCATCCTTCTCCTGAGATGCGGTATTAACATTAAAGATTTTAATTTTTGCATAGACGTATAAGAAATGCAACATTGTACTTAAACAAATATATGATATCGTACCACAATAATGAATAACACAATTGAATGAAATAATAACTATTATTTAACTATATATTAATTATATTAAGTTAACGATTAAAAATGATTATTAAGATTAAAAGACTGTCCATTCTTATTAATTTAGCTTTAATCGTGGACGATATAGAATCCGCATTTTTTAAATTAAATTATTAATTCCTAATTATTTAAATTAATTAATGGTTATTGACTAACGCCTCTAAAGGAAATATTGAACTTTGCGCAACTTTAGATGTTTGTGTTTACCGGTTTCAGGTATCACAAGATCGATGACAGACGCGAAGGAGCCGATACTATTAAAAGTTGTTGCTCCTCCGTCCCACACGGCTTTGTCCGGCGATGTAACCGTTTTTATCTTGGACTCGGAAAAGGAATCCTCTATGGTATCCACAAGTACTATGTCCACCAACGCCACAAATGGCATAAAGAAAGACGAGAAAGAAAAAATCGATCCGAAGAAAGATGGAGTTAGCGCGGGTCACGAACCGCTCGTGCTTAGGTATGTAAAAAAATCGTAAAACTTCACGAACATGCACGGCATCGCGACGCCCTGAAATGTTTAGCTGTTTACACGCACCCCTAAATAATCGAGCATTGAAATGAACTAGACGACGTTAAACCGTATTCGTAATTAAAAGTATTTGCAAAACAATTTTTATAAATATTTTGTCCAAATATAAATAAATATTTCCTTTCTACTTTTTGTTTCGAATTTCGAAGAATAAATAAATTAATTTAATACTATCGATGCGATATCGTATAGTAATATAAATGATTAGATTAATATGTATATCGTATCTAAATTTCGTGCATTAATTTCAGAGTGCTATACGTCGATGGCCTCACGTCGGAATTGATCGGTGATTTCCCTCTGGATACCCTGCCGCATAAGAGTGAGAATATTTCTGTGATAATACCTTGTGGTGTCTTCTCACGCGGCGGAATTTATACACTACGACTTCAGTACAAGTTCTCAACCGTGGCTGCCAGATACAACACTGCCATTGCTGGGCTGCCCGAAATTGAGGTCAGTATACTCCTTCAACTATCAAATTATACTCCACGTAATCATGTTATATCTTATTATCAAATAGATAATTAATTTAATATACAAAACTTGAGTAACAGAGTTAATAATAACAGCATAATTTGTTATGTTAAATCTTTAAAATTATTGACTATTTCTAGCAGTCATATTATAAAACTTTTCTTTAGTAGAAATTAAAAAAATTAATATACCAGGCAAGATAAAATTTAAGATCGATAAACACTATACGTTTATTACACATAAATTATACATAAAAGTCGAAATCCATTTTTCTCGAGATTTGACTTTATGTATTTTTTCGGGAACGTGAAAGAATCGTGAAAAAAATCTTAACGAACGTCGTATTTATAATATCGGTGTCTCATTGTTTGAAAGTGTTGCCTAATTGAAATGCAAAACGTATCCAGATGAGCAGTGCCTTAGACGTAAAATGGCCAACCCCTTCTCTGCTTTTGGAATCCCAACACTTCGGTACATATCCTAGCCAGCCGGTAATAGCTACTATAAAGTACAACGGAATTTCATGTGTACCTGCCAACGGTGTTCCGGTGGCAGCTTATATTTTGCAACTCATATATTGCGGCACGACCGCGGCCGCCTGCGATCCACAGAACAACGGTCGCATGCAAGTAAGCGCCACGTTTGATAAAGGGATCGTGTCGTGTGAAACGCGCGAGAACGTCGCGAAATTCAATCCCTTACGTTCCTCGAACTTTCCTTAGGTGCTCTATTACGAGGAAATAAACGGCTTCGCCTCGCCGAAGATTGTCAAGTTGAAATGCGAATTTTTCGGACTGGCCGGAAATTACGCGCTCAGATTAAAGGCCTCGGACGTCAATCCATCCGCGCCAACGACCAGCGCGTACATTAAGGTAATTAAGTTTCTTAATTAAAATAATTGGAGCATGGTTGCGGAAGGTAATAATTATGGAAGTAATTACTAGAGCATAGAAGGGTTAATATCATCACACGCGCTTATTATATATATAAATTAAAACAATTAGTTTACATATGTAGGTACATATATGTAAACTAATTATATATATATATGCACGTCTGTTTTACTCGCAGGTGGAATGGTCCGACGAGTTTAGCTTCAACGTCCACGCGAGATCGATCTATCCTTGCGAGGGATCGGCGGGCATATCGGTCCTCTTTCAGTACCCCGCGTGCCGTCTTCAGGGCGATCGCGTGCGCGTTTACGGCCGCCTGCGAGCGGACGTGAGTTCCCTGGCGCCGCCGTCCGCCTTGCACTACGTGGCGGAATTGAAGGCGGCGCCGGGCAAGCATTCGCTGAATTTCGACTGCGATATCTTCACCGAGAAGTTCATCGAGTATTGCTTCATTTACGTGAGCCAGGCGATCACCGGCGCGATGGCGGAGGTGAAGCTCGCGTGTATACCGACCTTCCCGCTTCTGGGTGAGTGGACATGCAAACGCTTAAAAGCCGGGTGCCTCCCGTCCCCGACAGATTTACCGCCTCGTAATTCACCTCGAGAGATCGCGCGCTGCACGTAGATTTTTATCCCCTTAACGAGCCTCGCGATTGCTCACCGTTTGATGTAGGTCAAAATAAAAGACGTGTGCGATTGTTTTCGGTGAAATAAAACTGGAGCATAAATTAATTTCGTTCATGACTATACTGTTAATGATATACTGTTACGTTTTCTATATTTACTCTGACGAGTTTTGATTTGATCCGATTCTATTCATTAATCACTAAGAAAATAAATCGCGCGTGTATTTTTATATTTTCTTTGAGCGGTAAATAAATTAATTCTCACAAAAATGATTGAAACACGATTGATTGAAAATTTCTCGACTGCAGACGATATCGAAGATTAAGAGATTGCGAAAAAGCATGCGTGTCTCATTAAATTTCAATTTCTTTAAGCAATTTTGAGCCGTGACAAAGTGCTCGACTTTTGAGACACTCTGTACATATTCTCCTCCCTACTCATCTTAATTATTAATGCAGAAAACGACGCGGCCGGTTGGGGTCCTTGGAGCGCGTGGAGCCCTTGCAGCAGCTCCTGCGTGGGTGGCGTTCGCAATCGATATCGATTTTGCGACACGCCACCGCCGAAATACGGAGCGAAATTCTGTCAGGTGAGTTTTAACGGTCGACAAAATGCAAAATACGTGGCAATCGGATCAAACAATGACGCGTTTGCTCGAAAAAAAAAAAATAAAACAGGGAAGAGCGGTCGAGACGGAATCCTGCGGCGGCACCGGCAGGATCGATTTCCAGGAGGCGTGGAATACCGAGGGATGGGAGTGCCGACACGGAACGACATTAGCGGCCGCGAGACCGGAAGTTACGGCACAGATCGGCGCGCAGTGTCGGTGTGGTTGCATTATCAATTTCGGCGATAATGCCTTGAATAAGATACTGGCGGCAAATACCCAAGCCTGTCCCGGTCGTTCCTTCTGGCTGCTGCAGGTAAATCTCTCTCGCGCACATTGTTCTAATTATTTTAAATACAACTCGAATAATCTTATATTCGGTCAATGAAAAGTAATAGTGCTTTATTTATCTTCGGCCTATAAGATACCTATAACAATAGATCTCGATTTGCGTAGGCAAAATCGGACTACATAATCAGACTGCATTTGGATCAAACGCAGTTTCCCTGTCCGGGACAATATTTTCGTGCTCGCGACGGTGATTCGCTGAGCGCGGAACTCTTGACGGATATCGCTTTTGACAAGGTTGCCCCTGTGACGGGAACGATATTTTCCTCGGGTCAAAGCTTGCTGCTCGAATTCTTTAGCGACGAGCACATTGCCTCGGGGAATTCCTGCGTGGGTGGTTTTTTGGGACACGCGAGCACGTTTCGTAAGCGTTACTTAACATGTATTATATAAAATAAAATTAAATCTAATATTTTAATAGATATATCTATATTAAATATATAATAATAAATATGATATGAGTGCAACGAATTATCAATTACATAAATCACTGTGTACTTTTATTTACATTGTTTCCGTACTCGTTACAGTCGTTACTGTATTCGATGCAATTTACGTAATTGATATTTTCAGAAAAATTGTATGAGAATAAGACGTCGGCTTCGCTCCCTTCGGAAACGAATTCCACCCTCACTGTTGAGCAATGGATCTTCTGGGGACCCGCGCATCTAGCAACAGCATCCCTTTTGATACTCATATTCTTTATATCTATTTTTCTAGCACTACAATTTGCACTGAAATATAGGAAGTATCATATCGCGGAGGACTTGGATACTCTGAGCGAGCACTCCGGTGAGTATCTGACATAATTTCGTGTATTAAAAGATTAGGCATTGATTATTAAGAAGTTAATGTCGACAACAAGCGCAAATTGTACAGAATAAAATTAATTAATATTAAAACAACTAATATATTATGTGCTACATAAAAACGTATTAGAACATAAAAACATAAAAAATTGATAAATTATTCAGGATGTAGCGATATGATGGTGGGCCGAGCGAAATCGATGTCTTCTACGACACTAATTTCGGAAGTCGCGTCCCTAGTGGGACTACCAAAGAAGTGCACACCAAGACTGTCGAAACGCAAAGCACCTTGCGCGGTGGAGGATGGTTATGATAGTTCGGAAACTTTGGCGGAGTAAGTGACAATTTGGACTTAATAAATTAAGATCTTATAATATTTTGATATATGGAGAATTAAATATTTTTAATTCGATCGTATTTATATATTTAATATTTTAACATTACTGAGTATTGTGCAATTTTGGTTTATTCATTCTATGAGAGAGCTATCGATTTATTGAATATTTTATTTGCAACCTATACCAACCACCTGTATTCTATTCTAAGGTATACTTTTGATATAATAGATACGAAGACGAGACCAGCTTGAGCTCGACCACCTTGAAATTCCGAGATAACGAGGAAAGCTGTACGGAGAGGAGTGTAATACCGAACAAATTGCACGCCGATGAACCACCAGCGACGGTATCGGCTATTATGGCAATTGGCCAGCCGGAAGTAAAATATGCCACACCAGTCAAGTAAATATAATTCTAGAAATAAAATTGTTTATTTATATAATTCATTAAACTTAATGAAGAAATATTTTATATAATATCCATGTCAAAATGTAATCTCCGGCCACGTTTTGGAATGCCTCCGACAGTCGAATGGACAGTTTAATAGTTTGTACATTGCAGATTACGCACTCTGGGATCTGTCAGTCCCGCGAATAAATTGACGTCGGGCAACACGACGAGATGTCAAAGCAGAGCGAGTATTACCGACAGCCCGCATATTGCAAGAATTCATCGTTACACGTCTAATCCTTTGCAGTCTAAGGTAGAGATCTATAATCTGATTGCGTGTATTTCACTTAAAACCACACAGAAAAGTAGTTAAAACAGGATCAAGAAAAGAAAGAAGCTAGATTATTCGTCTAATTAATAACGCAACAATATTTTATCAATATAATGTCTAACGTTAATTAAATTTTATTAAATCAATTACAATATAAAACAAACAATCTCAAATAATTACTCAAATACAAGTGAAAGAAATGTAATGTTATTCGGGAAAAATTCAAGAAGAAGGTAAACTTCAATTTTAACTCGACATTTTGCGCTAGAAAAGTTATTTAATTACTGCGACCGAAAACTGTTATCAGGATTCGTCGACGAGCAGTCCATTATCGGGCACGTCCACGTTACGCAGCGGTAAGGAGACGAAGGACCGTCGAAATCGCGAGCGACTGCTACAAGGGCCCGGTTCGGAGTTCAGTCTGACAAATCCGGAGACGGATATGGAGATCGACTATTACGATTACAACGTCGCGAACGCCGGCGCCGCGCCGGGCTCGTACTTAGGTATGGATCCAGCTTTTCTCCTATGGATACCCCCGTTGTCGATGTCCGAGGATTCTCAAGGTCCGTCTACGGATTGTCCGGATTGTTTTCAAGGCACGACGACGAGCCCGGCGTTGTACCGACTGCCGGAGAGCACTGAAGGCGCGACCCTGACCCCGGCCGAGTATCGGCGTATGCGACATCAAATCGCGTCTAGCGTCGAGGAGACTAGACCGAGTCTCGAACAGCAACGCCAAGACTCGACGTCCTCGTCGTCGTCGAGGAACGATTCGTCATCGGCTAGCGTTCTGTCCGAGGATAGCATCAGCGAGAGCAGAACCACCAGGCTGAACGAACACCTACTGCCGATCCATCGGATCCTGGAGGACTCTAGGACACGGGTCAGCGAGGAGTCTCTGTGTAGTCAACTTGCGATTGACAGGACTATTCCCAATCGTCTTCACGGCACTAAACCTGATCTCTCCCAGGAACAGAGCGCTGCGAGAAGCAGTCGGCAGGACAACTATGTAAATATCTTCGACGGCGTCGTGGCGAAGGCGGAGGATAAATCGGAGAAATCGAGGCAGGCCTTCAAGAGGCATCCCGAAGAGGCGGTACTTCATTACGGTACTTCGAGGCCTCACGTGAGTCAAAAAGCGAAAGATGTTTCTCAGGGCGACAAAAAGAACCGCTGTTTCAAAAACGAGAACGCGCCTAAGTTGTCTAGCAAGTCGACCAGCTCGAAGACTCAAGGATACGCGGACGGCAAGGACAGAGGTCCTCAGAGTGTCAAGGACGATCCGAAATCAGACATTGTTCTGACAAACTTGAATGTGAGCGGCCCGTGCAAGTACCGAGACTTCACGCAGTTCACGCAACCGCGCGAGATCAATAAACTCTCGGACTGCACTAATATTCCGATGATTGAGTTCTCGGGGCCGCGATTAAACTCGCCGGCGGCGACGCGAAGACTGACGACGGACAACCTGAACATCAGTCTGTCCAAGAAAGAGATTCAAAGCCCGGATTATGGGGTCGAGAGCGACATGAAGACGGAATCGCGCGACTCCTTCTACGACTTGATCCGCGAGAACGAGGACGGTATCAAGTTCGCGGACGACGACGACGAGTATATCGATAACAGAGCGAATCTGTGAAATTTACGTTGTAATTGCTACATATGGGAGCGCAATAAAGATTATTGCTATTTTACGGCTGAGAATATTGTATCGGTACGACGACGTTTTGGGGGAATCTGACGGGACATGTTTTGACACGTTAAACGTTGTTATATTTAGCAATCATATGAATAAATCTTCTATTACGTGCAACGGAATGACGTAATATTACAAACGTATTGTACTTTCTAGTCATAAGACAAATTATGAATTATGATATGATTGTAGACTTTTTTTAATTAATAATGATTAACGTGTCAGATCGTATCTCGATCATGTATAATTCTTCTCTAACACGGAAAAAGACGGAAAAGCAAGTATAGCTGCTGTAATCGCTATTTTTGTAAATGTGTAAAGTATCTTGCACGAGAAATGTAAATATGCTCCGTCCAAATCATATTGAAATGTAGTTATTGCGAAAAATTCGTAACCCTGCGTCAAATACCTCGCTATTCTTATACTTCACTCTATTCTTGATTATATATATTTCATATAGACTTTTAAACGAGCTCTTTGCATTCGCGATCGGAATATCGTACAAGTTAGGCAACATTGTCAATTAACTGAAAATTAGATCTTGTCATATTTTTATCGCCCTGCTAATAAAAATCTCTGAAATACTTTTAGATTTACATACAAACGCGACGCACTAACAGTTAATCGCTCCATATATTCGTTGTAATTTCTGTGATATATTGATGTTCTGTGGAATTACCGCGTGTACATACATATAGAAATAAACATTTCTCGTATATAACATATACAGACAGTTTCCCACCAAATTATCACAATCGCAGGAGAAAGAATTATTTCGGTATTAAAGGTAAGTAAATCTTTTCATATAGCAATATATAAAAGTAGAAAAAATTTATCTTTTATCATAACAAATATCACATATATAACTTCAAAGTACCGCCGCAAGTCAAAATATGTAATAAAAGCTCAAAATACCTTATGAGTCAGCGTGACAATTTACAAAGAAAAAAAATTTAAAGAATTAAAAATTTCGAATTTTACATTGTATAGATTTTTACTTGATTGGTTGTCACAAAGTTTCTACATTGACGTCCATATCTTGGGGGCGTTCGGCGTATCAACAGCGTCGAGTTTCACGAACTCGACGATAATTAACTAGTACTATAATGAAAAGAATTAGTCGACTCGAAATCGTTGGCTCGTAACGATCAATATGAGAAT